TCCCTTAACTGTATGGAACCTATAAAAAATAATAGGATTCCCAAGGGTCCGGTCCCTGTACTCTTCCTTCCTGGCCCCCCAACATGTCCTCTCATGTTAGCATGTGTTTCCATATAATGTATTTCAAAATCCTTTCCACACAGAATCTAAACATCTTCATCTCTTCCTATTTCTTCGCTTTTTATTTCCTCTCTGTCTTCCTTCTTCCCTGACTAAGTCCTCTCCTCTCCTCTGCCTTACTCACTTGGATCGTAGTCCTGGGCCAAGCACACACACTTCCTCTGGGTAAGTTCTCGCAGTGCCTACCTTATCTGTTAAAGTCTCATTTCTATGATCATCAAATTCTCCCTCAATTCAAAGGGGCAGAGGAGATGATCTGCCATCCCTGTTAAACCTATAAAATTGAAGCACACATGGAAAGAGATGCAAAATAGAGAAAAGCATATCGAAGACACATGAGCAAGAAGCAGAGGGTCTAACATGTGTGACGGGGGTCCCTGAGGAGAGGAGAGATGATAGGGCAGAAGAAATATTTGAACAATGACCAGAATTTTCCAAACCTGGCGAAAGACATTAAGTCACAGATTCAGAAAGTTCTGCAAACCCCATGTAGGATAAATACAAATCAAATCATGTCCATGCACAACACAGCCAAACTACTAAAACCAAAAGCAAAATGGAGATCTTAAAAAAGAAAATAGAGGACAAAAAAACACGTTTCCTTCAAAGAAGCAGCAACAAAATGGAGAGCTAAGTTTTCAACAGAAACAATGGAATTATAGGGTCAGTGTCCAAAGGAAATAATTTCAGAAATAGCATATTATAGCCGGCCAAAATACCATCTAAAACAAGATATTTTCACACAAATAAATACAGAATTAATGATTAGCAAAGTGTAAGAAATAGAGAAGGGGATTTTCAGAGAAAAGGAAAATTATACCAAATATCATTACAGAAACGTAGAGAAATACAAAATGAGTAAATATGTGGGTAAACCTGAATTCACATGGGCCATACAAAGAAACAATATTTTGTGTGATTTAATATAGCTTAATAATTCAATACACACATAAGTCATGTAGAAATAAAATGCATGTTCATATTAACACACACCCGAAAAAGAAGAGACTATGTGAATTTAAAGTGTTCCAAGGTCATAGCATTACTAGGGACGTAGCAAAACACATTTATATTCCACTGTAGTAAATAAATATGCACACAATAACCACCAGAGTAATCACTAAGAGAATAACAGGAACGTATAACACACAAGCTAAGAAAGATAAAATGTGTGTAAGTCATCTCTGATATTTTAAAAGAAGGCAAGACAGGAGAGGGGGAAAAAAGAACAGATGGGCCAAAGAGAAAGGAGGACTAAAATACTAGCTTACACCCCAAAACATAAGCAATTCCAATAAATACAAATGTACTGAAGAGTCCCATTATAAGGCTTAGATAGTCTGTCCCTAACACACAAAAGGCAACAATACATGCTGATTAAAGAAGATACACCTTACATATATATATATAGGACATAGAAGGTTAACGGGGTGGGAGAAAAAGATTCCAAGCAAACATTAACAACAACAACAAAAAGCTGAAATGCAGTATGCATATTTTCATAAAGATAAAGACAGGTAGTGTAATAAAGAAGTCAATTCCCAGGAGGAGATAAGAATTCCAAATCTGTAACAGAGCTTCAAAACATGAGAGCATGAACTGACAGAACTGAAAGAGGGAGTAAATCGGCAATCACAGGCGTAAGACTTTAAAACAAATCTCTTGATATAAGAGAGAATAAACAAAGATCTGATCAACATGAGTGACATATTGGGGGGGGCGGGGAGGGGAGTGCAGGGGAGAGGGAGATTACTGTAAACAATAAGATCTGAATTCCTTTCAGGTGAACATAAACATTTTACCAGAACATACTCTTTGGAGTGCACGACAAGACCACTCTGTCACAGAAGGGAAAACCAAGATAGAGCCCTAGGTCACAAGCAACCAAGGGTTGAAACTATAACCCAGATATTACAATGAACTAGCGCCCAATTCTGACCCCAAATCCAGTATCTGTCCCGATCTTTCACACCATCCTTTACAGGATAGGGTGTCCAGAAATCTCCCTGGCCACAGCATCATAACCATAAATACCCACAGCCAAACCAAACTCAAGACTCCTGCCCCCACCTTGGCACCAAAATGAGTCACCCAACCTGGAAAGACCTGCATTCTCCCTCCACACAGCAGAATGCGATGCCTTCCAAACAGCAGCCCTACCTCCCTGAGACCCAGGGCGATCCCTCTCCTCATTCCCAAAAGCTGTTTGTCTCAATCTCAGAAACATCTCACCCCATGAAGGGAAGAAAGTCTAGAAGTGCCTTATAGGTGAACAAAGTAGAACAGCATTACTTCAACTGTTTACAATGACCCACCAGCGAGCCATAGATTTCACAATGAGACTAAGAGTAAATAGTGTATTTATATTTTTACAATGTGTACTTTCTAAGGACCTATGGTATTAAGTCTGATCTTTTTCTTTGCAATTCCATTCTACATAATTTGTTTTCTAAGTATTGATCCTGACCCACTAAATTGATTTCACAGTCACGAAAGTGTCGTAAGCCCCAGTTTGAAAACCTCTGGGTGAGTGAGACAGAAGACCCAAGTGGCACCTCTAGGATCAGAACAACATGTTCTTTCCAGACCTGGCTCTGCTTTGCTCCCATGCTGCCCTCTCCAGCCTGAAATGGCAGCACCAATTGTTTGGGTAACAGCGTGAGTAGCTCTGAGTCCCAGTGTGGGCACATCGCCAGCACACAGAGCCCTGAGGGTGGCTCCAGGCATCAGGCAGCTGTCTCAGGGGGCTCCAGAGGCTTCTGCTGCTGGTGCAAGCAGATGAGCGCTTCCCTTCATCCCAACTCAGGCTCCCCGAGACTGCCCATATCCCTTACCCTCAGGGAGCCCTGACTTCTGGTTTATTGAAGTTACCTTTTTAGCCCACATACCTTCCTATATATAACCCCTGCCACTTCAGTCTGTCTTCCTAACTCACCACCCAAAATGCCCTGACTCTTGCCCATTTCACCAGCACTTTATTTTTTCTAAGATTTATTTATTTATGCATACAAGAACTGGGGTACAGGTCAGAGACATGGGGGGTGAGAGGATTCACCAGAGACAGAGTGGGGAACAGAACAGGCAGACTGAGTGAAATACACTGCTGAGGGGAGCAGTGGGTGAGACAGGAGAGGTCTGCTGCACCATGTGGGTAGCTCCCTGGCCAGGGATCGAACTCGTGCTGCAGTGGCTGTGGATAGCTTCATAGGTTGCGTCTTAACCCCTTGCGCCACTAGGGAGGCCCTTCACCAACACTTTAAACTGTTCCATCAAATTCTAAGTTTCCACCACAACCTTCATTCTGACCACTTTTCCCAAACAGATCCTCTACCACTCTAGCCCCTGCTAAGACTCACAGTCCTCTATAACACATCTCTGCACAGGCCTAGTCTGGAGGGGAAGAGAGGGTTATAGAGAAAAACTAGAGAGTAAGAAGAGAAGAGAACCTCTGTCTAATACATTCATAAGAAATAATGTCACCCAACCGAAGGTCACTGTGTGAAACCTGGAACATGGCAATTTTCAGGGGGTAGGGACCAGGGAAGGTCACCAGAATAGTGATTCTCATTTGATGCCCCAGGAAGTTATGATGTTCTATGAGGAACTGCTTGAAATGTTAACCCTTTAAAGCAAACGGAGCAGTAATTTTGGACCAAAACTCAGATGACATTATGCTAAGTAGCAGCAGATGCCAAATTGTGAGAAAATAATTAGGAAAGAAAACTTAGAGTTGAGAAAATTCTATCCAATTAACCCAGTCTGTTCTGCAGCCAGACGCCATCAATTGCTGCTAGGCCCTCCTCAAATGTCCAGTCCTAGAGCTCCGATCTAGATCATGGAACAGGACGGGGTTTCCAAGAGACGGAAGACAGCAGCATGTATGACGGACAGCACGCGCAGGTGAAGACTCACACCAGCCAAGCCAAGCAAAGCGCAGGCAGTAATGACTCAGAGGATGGCAGTGTGTGCTCGTGACAGCTGAGCACTGTCATCATCATGGACCACTCAGACCGCCGATGATACGGCCTCGCGGAAAGCCACATTCCCAAGGGTGGTGCGTGAATCAACTGCCAAAAATTGTTACTTGCACCAACTGTACTGTCTGGAGAACCAACAGGAGACTGACAAGCTTTAAAAAATGCACTCTGACTTGCTCCACCTTAAAGTACACCCCTGCAAAGGGCAGAGAACTTTCAATAGGAACACACTGGTCAGTAAGTATGAAGTAAGTGTGACAACTCAGCATCATAAAAGCAGATACAAGTAGTATAAACCTTCACTATGAAATTACCCTTAAAAATGGACAAAAAGAGCTCAGGCGCAATGGACACAGTGGCTACTCCCAAAGGGAAGGACAGTAAAGCTCACAACTCTATAGCATATCAAAATGGACCTTAAACCACAGCCCCTTGGGGCCACAGGCCCTCCTTATCATCCCACTGATGCAACAGAGACCTGTGGGAAGCCAGCAAATGGGCACCCTGAGTGGCTAAAGTAGGGGGGGGCAAAAAAACCCCACATTGTTCAGGAGCTAAACAACCCCAATTGAGGAAGTTCTGTGCCCTACCCAGCCTCGCTCCTGCAGAGACCTCCACAGGGGTTGAGCAGAAGGGGGTGCTGGGGCAAGAAGAAAAAGCTGATGCTGAGGACACCCCTCCCACCCCAAGCAGCTGCAGCCTGAGAAGCAAACCATGGACCACCCTACCTCCAGGGGTGAGCTAAAACAGAGCAGCAGCTGTGCTATAAAACATCCAGGAACAGCTAGCACTGTCCCCAGGATATCCCTGGATCCCCGCCCCCTTCTACCTCCACATGGACCCCATAGTGGCCCCCACTTCACTGAGGATGGCAGGTGAGGTGGCACAGGGGCAGTGCCTTACCTCCAAAGTTAGCCAGCCGCCCAATCCTCGTAACTGGCACCTTCCGCTCCCGAGCCCGCTCACTGAGCTGGAGGAGAAAAGAAAGAGACCTCAGAGAATCAGGGAACAAGGACACAACCAACCAACCAGCAGGGATTCGTGCCAGGACCCACATCCCCCTCTGCCCCAAACACAGCAGCTCCACCTGGCAGAGCACTCCATCAAGAATAGCCCTCACATTCCTAAAACCTCCAGATCACAGCATCTGGAGAATGTCCCCCACTTCGGGGGGGGGGGGTGACAGAGTGACAGCACCACTTTGAGTGGGAACCCCAGCCCCATTCCAGGGGGCCCTTCCTGCACATACCATCTGCTTATGGGGCTTGCCCTCGGGGCGAGCCTTGGTTTGCCGGGCCTTCTCAATGTCCTCAGCCGTCAGACCCCCTACGGGAGACTGGTCCTGGTGGAAGAATCTTCTCTGAAAGCCTGTGACCAAGAAGGGGTCCCTGGGGTCTATGAAGAGCCTCCTATTCACCCTGCCCAGAGGAGAGGTGGCCTGGCCCGGGAGCCCGGCTTCCCTGAAGGGTCCACTGGCAACATAGGTAGGAGCCGGGCCCTGGCTGTCAGTGACATTCGCAGGTGGAGGCGGTGACTGGTCAGAGGAGGCTGTTGCAGAGAAATCTTCAGCGGCTCCCGGGGCCCCGGGGCTTGAGAAGTGGAACTCTGCTTCTGGATCCTTGAAGCCCTCAGTGTAAGGTTCTTCATGCTTATCCTGACCCTGCGGGGAACAAAAGCCACCATAAGAAGAGCAAGAAATGAGCCACTGTCCACAGTATCCCCCCTCTGCACAACACAGCAACCACCTAGTCCCAACTGCTGACCCTCCGGAAGTGAACTTGCTGCTGCTGTGGCCCGAGGTCAGTTCTGGAGAAGAGCAGTACCTTCCCCACCCAGGGCCAGGAGCCCCAGATTTCAGTCTTGCTTCTGCCAAGTGAAGTAGCCAGGCCACATGACCACTAGCACCTGGGTGCTCCGCAGAGTGGGCAGGTGACCAGCACCTGACAAGCTTCTTACCTTAAATCAGGTATAAGGAGCAACCTCTGGGGTTCTGAGGAATGTGAACAGGGCAAAATCTGAGGAGTGCTGAGAAGGAAAAGCATAACCAAGAACAGCAAGGACAGCAGCACATATGGGGACTGCTCTGCCACTGCGCTGGAGCCACGCTGCAGACCCCGTGTCAGCCTGGAATGTTCCTTTAAGGGGCTCTCACTTGCGGGCTTATCATAACCAGGGCCAGTCTGGCTCCCTGGGATCTGGGGGTCAGACAGGCAAGGAGGGGGATGCACCAGGTTTCTTTCTAACAGTCTCTAAAACCTGACCTTCAGGCCCAAGTTCTTCCTACTTTTGAACCCTGGTGTGACCGTGAGTGAGTTCCAACCCCTCTACTACTTCCGCACCTGAAAGTAGGGCTCCTCGTGGTCGCAGTTATGCGGGGCCACAGACTGGGCCAGGAAAGTGCCAGTGAGGTTATAATTAGAACAGCACCAACTCCTGAAGGGAGGTCAGTGGCCTGGAGTCCTCAAACCCACAGACAAGGGAGTCAGTGCGCAGTGACTGACAGGCAGACGCTGCCCGCGGGCTCTGCGAAACAGCAGGAGACCCAAGCCCCTGACTCTCTGCTTTGTAAGATATTGTGGGGTCTGAGGAGATAAGACTTGCCCTGGAAGGAAGGAGACTAGTTGGTACCCTCATTTCATAAATGGGAGACAGATGCGGAGAGAGCTACGCCAGTGGCATAGCAGGCTTCCCAGGTCAAGGCGCGCCCGACTGGCTGCTGACATCACTTTTCTCGGAGCAGAGTAAGTTGTGTCTGGATTTACTAGGAGCCTCTCAAGATGGCCAGGACAATCCTCAGTGAGGGCGTGTGGGGCAGGGTTCTGAGGGCCACAACAGGGGTCCCTTTTCTGCCCCAGAGCTCCCCTGATGGCCACCTGGCCCTGCATTACCAAGACCTGTTTATATGCCTGTTGGCGCCCCAGCCAGTGAAGGGGTGTCAGTGGCTCAGTAAGACCAGACTCAGTGAGTATGAGTTGCTGGAGGAAGGTGTCTGGAGGATCTGGCCCTCAGCCCCCTCACAGGGAAGGGAGGTACCAACACGCTAAGCGTTTAGGGTGAGAGCAGGAGCACAGTGGAGGCCACTGCCCCACTCAGCCACTCCCCCCTGGGACTGGGCCTAGCAAAGACTCAGGGGCAGGGCAGGAGATTGGACAGGAGTCCCCTGGCCTCTCAAGAGGGGCCAGGTCTGCCAGGGTCTGGCCCCCCATCCGGGGATGAGGGGGCTAAGTGTGCTGGACAGCCTGACTTCCTGAGTGTTCTACAGGCAAAACACCAACAGGCAGGTGATGGCTCCTCATTGAAAAGGCACCACATGAAGTAGCCAAGGCCGCAGCCCAGCCTCAGCAGAGGGAGGGCAAAGGCAAGGTTGGGAAAAGGACAAAGAATTCTGGTCTCATCACTTAACAATCACAGGCCTCTCATCAACTGCTAAGGCTCAATTTCCGCATCTGAGAAACAGGAGCAAAAGCCTACGCAAGCCCACCACCAGGACAGCAGCGAAGCTTGCAGGAAATCACTGGTGTGAAGATTTCTAGCAGTTGCAAGCACTGTGCAAAGTGAGAGAGGCACTGTACCATCACTTCATCCTTTCAGAGCAGTGATGGGGGTAAGGGCTGGAAGCCCCAAAACTGAGACCCACTGAGGAGTAACAGCAGGAACGATGAGGAAGGAGGAACAGATGAGGAAGAAGAGTGGGCGGAGGCAGGGCAGGCTCTGCGGGGTAACATACACACCTCCCACCCCTCGGGCATGCAGAGGCAGAGCAGAGGGCGCCCAGCTATCGCAAACCCTGTTGACAAATGCCTCTCATTTTCCTTAAAACCTTTCCCTTGATGGAAAAATGCAGAGCCTTTCTGAAATGCAGCACAAGATATAAGACAGCAGATGAGAGAGGTGGGAGGCCCTCAACAGCACCGGATCAGCTGCTACCCTGGAAAGAAGCAGAGCCCAGGTGGGCACCCAGAGACCCTCAGCAAAATGAAGGAAAAACACAAGGTCTGGCCCTGGCTATGGCCTCGGCTGGGCAGGGAACACAAGGGCCATAATGACACCTCACCGCTCAGGTATGTCAGGCAAAGACATGTGTGTCTCCCAGTTTGCACACAGGGCAGCTTACGTCACTTCTTTACCAAAACCAAACCCACAAAAAAACACTAACAGAAATCAGAAACAGAAAAAGGCTTGGTCTTATAAAAACAATTGTTTGCTTCAGTGAAGGAAGCATAACAGGGTCCTTTCAGCTGCTCCCTATCAGAATATAAGCAAATGCTACTTTTTTCTTTGCAATATTTTTAATTTTCCAAAATTAAAAAGGCCCCTCTTTAGGCCCCTTGGACCAAGCAGTCTAGCCCTGTGAAGTTTCCTATCACAACTGGAGTCTCACGCAGCAGGCTCGCTCAGGGGACTCTCCCATCCCCACCCCTGACCCCAAGCCCCGCTGTCTCACTAAGAGCTCCCAATCCAGCCCCTCCCAGTGCCAGACCAGTCACCGTACCTGCACTGTTCCCCAGACCATGCCGATCTGCTCTATCGCCGTGGACTGCAGGGCCCTGGCCACCAGAAAGAGCTCCCTGCCAAGGCCCAAGTGCTGCAGGTGGGTTTCCACGGTGGCCTGGGTCAGCTTGGCCAGGCCTTTGGCCACCATGATGGCATCCCCCAACATGGCAGCCATGCTTCAGGGCTGAAAGAGAGAGGCCAAGTCAGGGGAGAAGCACCATACCCCACATGGGTGTTACTTACATGGATCAACTAACCCCAGACTCTGGGCAGAAGATGACTATTTGCTCTTCCCAATAATTTCGCCTTCCAACCCAGGCTAACTGACAGAAAGGAGAGAGAAGGGTTCAGGCCCCCAGGTGGACTCTGGGTGACCCCACACTGCAGGCTACTGGGCAGGATAAAAACTCCATGGAGACGAGGCGCACATTTCCTCAGCCAGTCCGCAGGGCCACCCTAGGAACACCCTGGTCAAAATGTCTGGCGCACAGTCTCCAGCTACCAAGTGGCAGAACCAGGATGTGAATCTGGGCATACTGACTCTTAACTCAGTGCTCTTTCCTCTGAACCAAGACTTTATTTTAGAGGGGATGGGACCAGCCACTCCCAAAGCAGTTCCCTACAGGGCCCAGGGCCCACCCCAAAGCCCTCAGGGACTGGTGTGGCTGGCCCTGCCCAGTGAGGACTCCAACAGACACCATGGACTGAGCATGCTCAGACACCCCCTCCCATCCTCAGCCCTAAGATTCACAAGCCAGAGTTTTCAAACGCCTGTGGAATAGGAAAGGAAGCATCAGCGAGCAGAGGAGGGCTGTCTGGTGACACTCGCTTCCTCTGTGTGAGTTCCTCTCTCCCCCTTCTCTGCTGGGTCACAGTGTACAATGTGTTTCTTCATGCAGGTCAGGGTCAAAGCAGCTGAGAGTCCCTGTACGCCATGGGCTGTGTGCCAGGAGGGTTATTTACAATAATGTCCTGTTAACATACTGGGGCTGAAGGAAAACCAGGCAGGAAAGGAGAGAACAGAAAGAGACCCCACCGAAGCAGGGAAGGAACACTTGGCCAGGGCAGGGAAGAGCTGGGCGGGCCAGCTTAGCACAGAGTGGAAGTTGCAACAAGTCCAGAGATCAGACAGACCCTGAGAGGGGAGGAGCTGGAAGGCGCTTCAGGCAGGGAAGTGGCGGGAACACACAGCAGGTGGAGGCACAGAAGAGCCTGACATGCCCTGAAGGCAGGACCGCAGGAGGGAGGGGATGGTCACAGAGACACGCAAGAATGTTTAGGGGAGTGGGGTGGTCAGGTAAGGGAATTGACAAGTATCCCCAACCAGAACTCAAGGGATTGGGGAGCAGCCCCAGTCAGTCCAGGCGGCCCTGCAGGAATCAGCGCTGCTCCTGGGCTTGGGACACTGCTCCTTTTATTTCAAAGGAAAATTACAGCTTCAGCCAGAGAAACTCAGCGATGTGCAGAAGCCAGGAAAACTGAGATGACCTGCCATAACCTGGACTCCGAAAACCTTCACCTTCATAGGAGAGCAGGAGCCAGGCGCTGGGCTGGCGTGCTTCCTACACTTCTCCTTTCATCTCTGTAAACACCGACGACGTGGTTGTTATTGCTCCCATTTCACAAAGGAGGCAGCCAAAGCCAGAGGCTAACCCACTGTCTGAGGTCACTCAGTTCCTGCCGGTGGCCCTGGGGTCTGGATCTCACCTACTGTGTGCAATACACACTGCCCACCCCCCAACAACTCTAAGGTACCACCGCATGGATGGGGCACTGCTTAGGCACAAATGGACTGCCTGCCCCCTAATCAAAGCCAGAGAAGTTTTTGGAAGGTGACCACACCCTTCCAAGAGACGGAAGAGGAGTAGAGTGCTGGCCGGGCACACTGCCTGGTGCCATTTCACAAGCGGGCTCTTCTTTGAGCCCCTGCACTTCATGGTAGTAAATGAGGGTGAGGCCCACGGATCAAATGTCTAGGACTGGGAAGAGATCACGTAATCAGAGCTCAAAGGTACCTGGTGCCAGCTCTCAACAACATCCCAGTCCCACCACCCCTGGTATACACAAATGACACACATTACTTGCTGCCCTCGTATCCAGGGAGGTGCCCACAAGGACCCACTTGACCCGTGAGGGAGGAGACTTCTGAAAGAGATGCCAGCGACATGCAATGGTGGAGGCTGTGGCCCCGCCACATCTGTGCAGAAGGACCCTTACTGGTGAGCCCACAGTTCCCAGGGGTCTCCAGAAACAGGCCTTGCCCTGGCTTACCTCTAGATCCAGTCCAGACAACTGAGGCGATGGTCTCAAATAGGCCACAAGCCCCACTGGTTCCAAAACCTCACCTTATGTGCTAACTGATGTCCAACCTCCCTCAAGATTTCCTGAGACCTGTTTTAATTTCAGACTTAACACTAATTCTGCCTGAATTTCACCTCTAGGTTATTGCACTTGTGCACTAAAGCTTCTCTAGAGCAAAGCTAGTGACTTTTTTGGTCAGTCTGCCCTGTTCTGCTCCACTTGCTCACCCATGGCGCCAAGGGGAGTTCATTTCAGGTCCCGCACATTGTAGGCTTAACTCTGCTGGTTTCTAAATACATCACCACCGAGCACAGCTTGGGGACAAACCAGGATTACACCTACTTACCAATGACACATAAAAAAATCGATGAGGGAAAAATGTTCAATAAATCAACCAAAATCTGTGACTCCCGAGTTTGGGAAGTATGGAATAAAGATGGTTATTTCATCTCTTGGTATGTACCTAACATTTTAGTTCACGTGTCTTTCTTTCAATATGGAAAATAAGTCATCTTTTAAAAATATACTTTTAAAAATAATTAGTATTGCTTTTCTTCTTGCCTGAAGGGCTGCATCCCCTTACCCAGTGGACCCCAGCCAGGGGCAACAAGTGGGGAACATGATGAGAGCCAGCCCCCCTGGAAGGAGGGCCCTATCCGTGTAGAAACAGTATCACAGGAACATACCTCTGTGCTTACTGTATGGAGAACCTGCTTTTCTCAAATCAACACATGTTGCTAGTAAACACGGTCTGTCACTTGTCAGCAGAATCACACATGGATGCGTATTTCAAAACTGCAGCTGTTACCTGCCCCTTTTTAACAAATACTCCTCATCTAAGGTCACCACATATAGTAACGTGTGCACACTCTAATCAACACCAGGTGCTTTTTCACAAAGAAGTGTCTATAAGGGGGTGAGGAGGATATCTTTCCAGAAGTTCTTTCACCTTCTGCTCTTTATAAATTGAGCCTCATAAACCCTCTTTCTAGTACACCGGAATCCCCATGCGACTCAGGATTCAGCTATTCTGTTCGCTGCAAACTCCCTCTGAGGTGCACAAGAACCAAGCACTCTGAAAGCATTTTCATCATGATTTACATAAATAAAATCAAAATACATTTAATATACAAATTAAAGGGTTTGTCTGTACCATGCTTTCTTCTACAAGTATCAAAGTCCTCACCCCACCATACTTTGTCCTGTCGGTTCCTGAAGGACTTCGTGATCTAGCCTAGCACAGGAATGGGGGCTCAAGCTCCCCACCTACAAAGTACCTTTTGCTCCAGCAGCTCCCATGTCTGCCTGCCCTCCTGTGGAGGGGACAGCAGAAAAGTGCCAAATGTGCCAGAGCACACAAAAGCTGGAAAGGCTGTGGGGTAGGGACGGTATTCACGCTTGGCAGTGCCCAGCAGACACTAGGACCAGACCTAGGTCAGTCGTGCATTCACTGAACACAGTTCACTACGTCTCCTCCCTCCAGTGCTCTGGCCTAGTTAGTCCCCACAGATCCCAGGATGAACCTGCGCTTGGCCCAGGGCACTCACAGCTGTGGTGGTGGCCTAGAGGCACATCTGTAAGGAGCACAGGCACCAGGAAGACGGCCAGAGGCCAAATGAGACTGACACTCCAGGATCAGGTGTACAGGAGTCAAGTGACCAGTGGAAGAGACTACCCTAGGAGCCTGGACTTGGGGTCCCAGCCCTGCCACCACTGTGTACATTAGCATGTTACTCACCTCTTTGCCCCACCCAAATAGAAGAGGGCTTTGAGGGCTCCCTTTTCTGATGCTAACATGTCCAAGTGCCATAAAGGAAGCAAATAAAGATGTTGTACAGAGAGAAAGAACTAGAATAAAAGCAGCACCCCCTCTGCAGAGACAGACTGAGGAAGAGACACAGGCAGCATCCCTAACATGGAGTCCTCAAGCTCCCAGAGGAAGCTCCCACTGAGCCTACCCTCTCTGACCTTCCCAGAGAGCTTTTCAAGCCCCAGCTCATGATGGAGAACAGCCAGGAGCTCGAGCCCACACATTAGCTGGAAACTATCAGGGGCCTGGAGACCTTCAATTCCAGTCTCCAAAACTAAAAAAATACCCACTATCTAGTGCCACCTATTTAGCCAGATACAATATGAGGTACCAGGAGGAAAATATGTTTTTTTTTATTAAAGTTTTTTTTTTAAGATTTATTTATGCATACAAGAACTGGGGTACAGGCCAGAGGTACGGGGTATGTGTGAGAGAATTCATCAGTCAGAGTGGGCAACAGAACAGGTGGATATGATTGAAATACACTGCTGAGGGGAGCAGCGGGTTAGTCAGGAGAGGTCTGCTGCACCATGTGGTCAGCGCCCTGGCCAGCCAGGGATCAGACTTGTGGGGCAGGCTGCAGAAGCTTCACAGTGCTGTGCCCAACCACCTGCGCCACCAGGGAGGTGCCAAAAATATGTTCTTTTAAAAAAATAAATATAAAAGGCAATCCTGCCAAGCACAACAAATGATGACATTATACACTTTTCCACTCAGGACCCACATGAAGTTATTTTATTTGCAGGCAGGGTTCTCATACACACCCCGGATCCCCTCTTCACAGTCAGAACTCACCATCTTCTCATGAGGTGACAGGCTGGACACAGTGTGTGAATCTGCTGAGTCACTGTTCAGTCCCCTTCGTGACTGCAAACTGTCACGCGCAGCCAAATCCTATCCAACTAAAGCCAGGCTGTGCGTCTAAAGCCAGCATACCCTGCCCTGGTCGCTTCTCATCCTGAGCTGCCCGAAGCCGTGGGATGGCAGCATGGGGGCCAAGAGCAGACTGCACTGAAATCCCGTCTTGGGGAGTGCACATGACCCTCAGGAGACTGAAAAGCCTCCTCCTGAGC